CCCCTCCCTGTGTCCATGTGCTCTCATCGTTCAACACCCGCCTATGAGTGAGAACATGCGGTGTTTGATCTTCTGCTCCTCTGTCAGTTTGCTGAGAATGATGGGTCTTCAGTTTTAAAGCATTAGTCTGTTTTATATTATAATTCTTTTTCAGAATACATTTTAGTTTTACATCCTTTCATTTTATGGAACATTGATTTCAAAAATTCACATTTAATATTCATAATGTAATGATTTCAGATCACATGTCAATATAAAATAATAGACGGTTTTAAATAAGCATTGTTCCATGTAGGGTTCATTAGTTTTGGAGTTTGCTTTAATGTGCCAGTGACAGCGTTAATATTAGTTCATTGGGAATCTTTTATATTATCCTGTGTACTCGGTAGTGATGTTTCCAAGTTAAAGGTTATTACCTATGAAAAAATGTGGTCATGAAATCAATGTAGTGGGTCATGGGGACATGTATTTAGAGATGAGTAGCAAGGGCAAGAAAGGTGATTGCAGTTCAAGCTGAGTAGGAGCCGGAGGAGAAGAGTACTGAGAATTTGGATATATTTTTAAAGTAAAGCTGACAGAATCAATAGACAGATTATGTACTCGTTTCTTATTGCTACTATAATTAGAACATTAATGCAGAAATTTAAAAGATTCCCTTCCCCTTAATATTTTATGAGAATGCTAAACTCTCTTTTCTATAAAGGTAAAATGCTGGCAGATGTGTATTTTAATCAATTTATTATTCTGTTAGAGTGAGACAGTCATTTCCTAGATGAAGAATTGTGACAAATTTTTCATAAAAGCGTTTAATATCTTATTCTAAAATGTATAATTATCCTCCAAAAAGTTTAATGCATTTATCCTTTAGTGAAAAATCTAGCTTTAAGATACACAAAAATACAAGAATATATAAGAACGAAGTTTTAAAGAGATTACTACCTTATTTTGCACCAGGTAGCAGTCAAGAGAGCCAGCATTCCTTGATTATCTGTTTACTGCGTTCCAAGCTCTAAAAGTGAGCAAATCTAAAACAAATAGGAGCATGGACCTTCACCTTAAAAACTTACGACTTCCCTGTGGAGAGAAAACCATCACATGAAACAGAAAGAATTTTGGAAGAAAAGTATATAATTATAACCAACATCTGTGTCATTTTCTTCTTAACTATGGAATATCTTAAAATCAAATACAGAAATATAACATGAGGCAGTCCTTGCCAACCCTTTCAAAACCATGTCAGGGAGTTTTACAAGTGAGAAAACAACATACGTCATCACCAACAAAATAAAATACAAATGTCAAGGAGAGGTTTACAAAGAAAGATTACCTTACATTTCAATGCTTTCTAGTGGTATCAGAGTTTTACATATGAAATATGCACTGTTTGCCACTTGGTATGTTTAATCAGAGAGAAGGATTGCTGCTGACCCAGTGAATTATGTCATTTCTAGTGAGGCTTTCTCATCTTTACAACCTAAATTCGCCAACATGTACAACCTATGAGCCTTTATTTGGCTTCAAAATACAAACAAAGTAACAACAAAAACACTGCCTTCGTTCCCCCCCCCCACAAAAATGTAATATCAGATGTGACAGTAAGATATTAGAACGTGAGGATTCTAACCGTTAGTAGTTGGTTGAAAACCACATCTTGGACACTTATATTTGAAACTTTTAACTAAACCTGCTCAATAGTAATCATAGAAAAAATCAGA